AGAGAGAGAGAGAGAGAGAGAGAGGGAGAGAGAGAGAGAGAGAGAGAGAGAGAGAGAGAGAGAGGGGCGGCGATTACGTATAGTTGACCACACATTTATCGTGTTAATAGTAAGTACTGCATAATAAAGTATGTAATATAATATCCCAAACGACTCCATTTTAAGTGCAGATATATTTTTCAAGGCTAAGCAAGCTGTAGATATTCGTCAGCTTTTTCTTCAATATTCAATCAACCGGTGCCACGTCCTGAAATATTTCTGCAGGAATTGCTCAAACATGCATAGTGTAATCAAAGAAACGTATGAAGATTTTATATAGCAAATCGCATTCGCCATTTTCTTACAGGCCTTTCGCCATACATCCCAGCGTCATGCAGATGGAATTTCGTGGGACAGCAAAGTAGAAATGTCGCTATACTTCTATTGCTCCGTAGACCGTTTTGCGTTGCTAACGGAGGGATTCGCGACCGTGTCACGCGACACACACGCTACGCCGACATCAAAAGCCTGTCGTGACACAGGAATATTCGAATCTTCAAAACAGGCAGCTATAGAAGATAAACGTACGAAGGGAACCTGACTTATAGACTGCACATATGTCTGTTCTGGCTGTAGCAGGTGAAAGGACAAATTGCTTCTCACACGCACCCACACACGCACGCACGCACGCACACGCACACGCACACGCACACGCACACGCACACGCACAGGCACACACACACACACACACACACACACACACACACATTTCTCATGGAGAGGTTTGTTTTTCCTGCGTTATTATCGAACGACGAAAATAACGCGGGAAAAAATCGATAAAAACGTAAGACGACACGAATGAATGTAATAAGAGTAGTGACTGCATGCTGACAATGGCTTTTTACTCCCCCTCCCCCCCAACCTCCCACCCCCTGGAGCGAATTTCCGATGTGTTAATAATTGTCTATTCAGTAACATTAGCTGCTTTATAGGTAAGAATGAATACACCGGTTAATGCCATCACTACCCCCCTCCTCCGATGGGGAGGAGGAGGAGAAGGGGCAGCAGGAGGAGAAGGGGGAGGAAGAGGAGAAGGGGAAAGAAGAGGAGGAGTAGGAGGAGGATGAGGAGGAGGAGAAGGGGAAGGAGGAGGAGGAGTAGGAGGAGGAAGAGGAGGAGGAGAAGGGGGAGGAGGAGAAGGAGAAGGGGGAGGAAGAGGAGGAGTAGGAGGAGGAGGAAGAGGAGGAGAAGGGAGAGGAGGAGGAGAAGCGGAAGGCAGAGGAGGAGAAGGGGAGGAAACGGAGGGGAGAATGAGAAGGGGGAAGAGGAAGAGAAGGGGGAGGAGGAGGAGAAGGGGGAGGAGGAGGAGAAGGGGCAGGAGGAGGAGAAGGG